GGATAAGAAATGATAGTTGGAAACTTATCAAGGAGTACTAAGAAAAAAATTCCTGACAGTGAGAACAATTGGAGAACTATTTGACCAGAATTGGTAGGGTTTCCTGTTTGAGCAGGGGGTTGGACTAGAAGACCTCCAAGGTTCCTTCCAAACTCTGTTATTCTGTATCTGGAGTTACAAGGTCATCCTTTCTCTTATTATTCAAGAATGGAAGATTTGACACAACTTTATGAGTTCTTTTGTATCCAAGGAAGATGTTTTCAATAAAGGTTAAAAATTCTTAATTAAGAATGTAAAAAATTCTTAATATATAAACATTTACAAAGATGTGAAATAAATAAAAAATATTCAAGGAAACATTAATCACTAAGAAATGGTGGGCTAGTCTAGCCTGGCAGGTTTTATTTATCAAATGTGTAAAACTCTAATTGTGTGATCTTAAGAAAAACAAGATTCAATCTCTGGTTTTTCTTCTTTTTTTCCAAAGTGGTAGTTTTTAAAAACTGTAAACCGTAGTTAATACAATAAGAAAAACTGCTTTGAGGTCACTAGACTCCAGAGAGAAAGTTCAGTAAAGATAGCTTATTAGCTATTGTTGGAGATCCAATTTGGGGGAGCACATATGGTTTAGGCTTGCCTCATAATGCTATACTTTGTACCATCTGGCTGCCACTCAACTAGTGTTCTTTCCACAGAGCTCTGTTGAAGAAGAGATAACTAATATATATCATCTACAGGTTCCCAAAATTTTCATCCTTTTTAAATGTTGTAATACATAGCTTTATATTAAGTTTATATTGTTTGTTAATACTTATATAACACTGAAAAATCAATTTCACATTTTCATTTTGCTTGTATCATTGTTTAAAACAAAATGTGTTTGAAGTCCAAAATACATTGAATACCTTTATCTTGAGGTTGATGTAAAGTCTAAAAATACCAGCTTCCATCAAACAAATACTCAAAGGCACAAAGGAGCCATACAGCTCATGATTAGGCAAACTCCAGTTTTTCTAGATACATTTGCTTCAGCTTTTGCTTATGCTTAATCCTTTTACATATTGATCCTCACATCAGAGAACAGCTCTTCTGTTAATAACAAGCAAAATACCTTGTGCATATACAGCATACTAAACCAGTTAATGAAACTTTGGGCAAAATATTAAGGAGTATCTTATTTACACTTCATACATAATATTGTTGAACTATACATTGTCTTATTCAGACACAGAGAAAAAACATTTCTAAACTGTTCCATTACAAGTATGTTGAAAAATGATATAGGTAGAGTTGAAGAGAACAAGCCTTCTTGAAATTCATTGTATGGTAAGAAATATGCCACTTTAGTTTTTTTTAAAAAAATCTAAAATATCGCATGTGTCTTTATAAACTCTGGTTCAAAAAAGTTGAATGCATTCCTTGTTATGAAACCAGCAATGCGTAGTATAGCTATCCTGAACTGTACCTGGTAACCGGGAGACTTTGAAACCTGCAAGATCAAAA